GGGGGGGGGGGTCACAGAAAAGAGAGAAGGAGGGGAATGGATGGATAATTTGTCAGGGAATGAATGGATTGTCTGTTGGGGAATGGATGATACATGTCTGACAGGGAAGGATGGACGCCTTTAAGCTTTAAAAAAATTAAGATATCGACACCAGACTAAGACAAAAATAAATGTGCGCAGTGTTTTAAACTATCAGGTGGAATGGTAACTCTATTTCGTCCAAAACTGGATATCCTGACTTACATAAAAATACAACTAATTCCAGTTTTGAGTTTGAAAGTGGAAGTAAGCTATGGTGAGCGACTCACGTCGTGAGACTCCCTGTGCTCAAAGCCCAGCACAACACAGTCGGGGCAACGCTCAATGACCTCGGTCAAGGTCACAGCTGACACGTCGGCGTCGGCAATCCTGAGGCAGAAATCTTCCAGAAGGTCCTCGTCCATTCTACCCATCACGTCACACATTGTGCTTGGCTGGAAGATAAAGGACACAGATCGTACCTCCGAATTTTTTTATTTACTAAGACCATGGCGTCAAAAAACAAATATTCTCCGTTCTACCAAAATGGTACAATTATTATTTTTAAACTTGACACAATATGAAACTCAAATTTTGTAACGTCAGATTTCTCAAAACTAGATACTGACAGAATAAAGACACAATCGCTACCTTAGAATTGTTTTTATTACTGAGACAATGAGGTCAAAAACCAAATTGAATATTTTCTGCTCTACCAAAATAGTACGATTATTTTTTTTTAACTTGACTTTTGAACTTAAATTTTTAAACGTCAGCTTTCTCAAAACTAGATTCTGGAAGATAAAAGACACAGATGGTGCTCCAGAATTGTTTTATTTACTAAGACCATGAGGTAAAAAAACAAATGTTCACTGCTCTACCAAAATATTTCGATTATTTTTGTTAAACTTGACATATGAAACTCAAATTTTTTAACGTCAAATTTCTTTAAACTAGATTATGGCAGATTAACACAAATCGCCACCCTAGAATTTTATATTACAAAGACCATGAGGTCAGAAACCAAAATATATGTTCTCTGCTCTACCAAAATAGTATGTTTATTTGAAGTCGCAATGAAGATATTCAAAGAAATGCATTTTTAAAAAAAATTGACATATGAAACTCAAAATCTTTTATCGTCAAATTTCTCAAAACTAGGTACTGAGCAGATAGAACATTGTAATTCTAGTAGCAGCAAAAAAAAAAAAATGTTTTGCTATTTAGCTTTAGTAAGAGTTTTACGGCACTGACAACACAGTAAGGTCATATAAGTGCCGAAGAAAAGATGTGCTATAAGATAGTAAAAAACACTAAAAGGGAGACATCAGGCAGATAGATGTTAGAAAGGAAAGAAGGAGCAAACTTCACCAGAGCACCTGTAAACCACCAGCAAAGTTAAGCTATACAAGTAAATGTTGTTGTTGCTATTATTGCTGATTTTGTCATTATTGGCGCTGCTGTAGTTGTTGTTGTATTTGCTGTTGTTGTTGTTGTTGTTATTGTTCTTGGTGGTGTTGGTGTTGTGTTGGTGTTGTTGTTGTTATTATTGTTATTGTTATTGTGGTTGTTGTTGTTGTTGATCATTATCTGAAGGGCCGTTGTTATTGATTTTGTTGCTGTTATTGTGTCGTCGCTGTTATTATTGGGGTTTTTTTCATTATCAAATCTATTATTGTTATTGCTGTTGTAATCGTAATTGACGTCACTGTTCTTTTGTCAGATTATTGCTCCTTTGAACCAACCGCTACACTACAGACGCTGGTGTGGTATACCGTAATCGCATGCAACCCCCCCC